GGATCGCATCCTTCAATGTCAAGCTTTTGCGTGGAGGCTGACTGACGAATGGCTCTGGGAAGAGTGAGCCCGTTAATCTTCTGATTGTCGTAGTGATCTCGATCTTCTTGCTAATGTGGATTGAGATCAAAGCCATAGACCCTAGTGGCTTCGTTCTTGTGTGTTTTTGGTGGCGGACCAGAATGTGAAGTGCTGGTCGAGCGTGGTTGCGACGGAGAGATCAACGGTGTCGTGGGTGAGCAAGGTTGGGTCGGTGGACATGGTTGCGTCGGTGGACACTGGTGATGTTGTAGATATGGCAGAGTGGGAGGAGGAGGAGTATTGGGTGGAGTTGGTGGAAAAGGTTGTGATGATGCCCAACTGTACAGGTGGTGTCCACATACGTCCCATCATGTAAGGTCCCGACTGAGTGGCTGGCCACGATGGCCGATTCTGATGTCTTGGCGTGTTGTGTAAGTGTCTGGCAACTGCACTCATGGGTCCGCACCATCGAGGGAAGAATGGTAGTGGTTGGGGTCGATCTCGCGCAGGCACATGTGAGCGCGAACGATCGGAGTCAGCCATGACATCATGGTTGCAAACACGATCAATGTGATGACGAAAGCACGAAAACTTGGAATGCTGCGAACATTATGAAGGAAAGCCCAGAGTGTATCATGTAAAACAGTGGAATCACAACAATGATCAAAGTTGCTCGGCAATGTTTCACAGGCAATATGCAAACTTGGTCACCGAAACTTGGGGTCAACACGAGCAGAAAATCTCAAAAGTAAAAAGAAGTTGCAAACCGAGCAAAGTGATTCAGATTGCGACAGCCCTAGAAATGGATCAGCCGGTTTCCGGTCTGACAATGGGTGTATCCGTCACCTTAGTCTCCTTAGGTAATGTCAGGAAGAGTGTCGTCATTAGCCCCCGGCGGTACCCCTGTTGGTAAGGGTGAACGGCGTCTTTTGCCGCGATCGAGGTGCATCAAGATCTCCAACCATCACAGGAAACCTCTTGGCTTCTCTTCGATTCATCTGTGCAACAGCATCACGTTGGTTATGTCCTCCTCGACGGGTGCGTCGATGTTCTTCTTGTTCTGCATAGGCGGCTGCTAAGGCATCCGCACGTGCTGGTTCAGTCTCTGCGAATGCAAAGAAACCATGACCAGAGCTTGATGCTGAAGAAGAATAATGAGCTTGTTGCTGTTGTTGGTTTTGTATGGCAGGAGTCCATGAGGTCTGAGGTTGAACATAGTTGGACTTACCTTTGCCATCTCCTGGTTTTCCTCCTTTGCCTTCATCATCCTTGCCTTTCTTTCCTTTTCCTTTTCCTTTTCCTTTTCCTTTCCTCTGGGAATATCCATACGATAGTACAGATCTTCATAGGCCCAATAGCCTTCATTCCAGTTCTGATCATCGGCCCAATAGCCTTCATGAGGATCATTCCACCTATCTCCTTCATTCCATTCTTCCTCGTATCCTTCTTCACTCACGATGTGAGAGCGGCCTTTTCTTCTTCCTTTTCCTTGGCCTTTTCCTTTCCTAGATCTGAAGAACCTTCGTCCTCCTCTGCCTTTTCCTTTTCCTTTTCTCTTTCCTTTACCTTTGCCTCTTCTGGTCTGTCTTCCTTGGAACCTTCTCTGATACCATGTGTAGTCAGCGTCATCATAAGCCCAGAAAACATCTTCTAAAGCATCCAGGAATCCTTCTGCACCGTCTTCATCGGTTCCTTCTAATCCACCTTATCCAGAACGAGGAAAAATCTTCTCTGTCCAATGCCAGGGGGATGCATCATAGGATTGTCTACTGCCATCTTTGTAGTGCAAAACATTTCCAGGAATAGATCTCTGAGTTCTTGCACATTGTACTGATCGAGTGTGCGTCCACGATGTGTCATGATACTTGTGGGTGTGTTCCTCTGATCTTGAGTCAAATCTGCTAGACTTACAAAGATCAATGCTAGCAAATTGTCACCCAAGGGAAATGCCAGTCTCTGCTGTTGTCGTCTGTTTTCGTTGAGTTTCTGAATGCTACCTAGGAATGATCACCTGTCCAAGGTACATTGACATGTGGTTCTTGTCCTGGTACAGCTGCTGCAAGTTGTGCGAGTTCAGCTTGACGTGCTTCATGTTCTTGTCGTTGTCGTTGAACATACAGGATTGCTTCTGGGCTAGTAATCAACAGGTCTGGTAGTAAATCCATCCAAGACTCAATAAGTCTGTTTCCCGTCAGTTGAAATCTAGTCATCCGTTTCTGAAGATCCATAGTTCCTCTGTTGTACTTCATGAACTGCATGAAACGGTATAAGAACACGTTTTGGGCACCTTTGATGAAATGAGGTCGCAGAAATCTTTTGAAGTAGTTGACTCCGTCGTTGGGATCCCTGAGCATTTCTCTGTCTAATAACCTCTTGTATTGCTGCGCCTCTCCTTCCAGTCGATTTCGCAAAGCTGGTCCACGTTTTTCAAGTTCTAGCTCCGTGATGTCACACCAGTCATCAATAGCATCTTCAAATACAAAGAAGCTGGTTCTTCCATCATATGCAGGGGCTACCTTCGTGGTCATCTGCTGCGTCATATGGATTGAAGGCTGCTAAGGTGCTCTTCTCACTGCAGAGGAGTCATATTGATTCCATCCATCTGCATCGACAATGTCGAAGTCATCATCATCATAGCCATGGCGAGACATATCGGGCTCTATCTGGAGCTCACCTTCAATGAAGGATCACAGCTCTGCTACCACTTGAAGAGGGGCACTAGCGTCTAGAATAGATCAGCTAGAGCGTCTTCCCAAGACAGCTTCACACCCTTTTCTCACGGCGTCTGCCAGTAGGTGCTCTGTCTACAGGCGTATATAAAGGGTGCTCAATACTCACGCTACATCCACATAGGATTCAAGCCTAAAAAAAAACAGGGCCCCCTCCCTTATGTGGAGATTCCTTACTTCCAGCCCTCAATTTCCAGGAAAGAACCAACCACCTCCCCCAGTACGAAACTAGTACTAAAGTACATGGAACTCAGGTAGCCTAGGCTACCTTTCGTGAACTGTGACGAACAGATCCCCCGATCCAATCATGACCTTCCAGAATGAGGCACCGAATGAGGCCCAGTGCGGTGCGTCAATTTGGAAGATTCCTCACGCGCAAGCGGGCACCGAATGCATGCATCAGGTATGCGCTGCACGCACCGCAAAGAAAATCTTGTACAAATTTCTTCTCCATTCCAGCAAGTGGCAAATGAGAAGAGGGACAAGTCGGAAACAAATCAGAAACAAATCAATGAAAACAAAATAATGGTGCGACTGGATCCCTGTATCCCTCTAGTATGATGGCAAATGGGAGACAGGGGGGGGACAAGTGGGAGTGGCAGAAAATCGTGGTGGAACTGAATCCCAGTAGGAAAATGAGAAGGGAGACAAATGGGGAGACAAACAAGTGGGACAAAGTGGGACAAATGGGGGAAATCACTACAGAACAAGGTTCGTTTCTACACAAGATTTGGGAACTCCGCGAGCTTGAAGCTGTTTGGGGAATAATTAATTTGTCAAGCTAGTTTCGCCGTCATTACATGAGCATTTTTCCCAACAAGCCTGTGGAGCCACAAATTGTTTAAGAATATGGCTGCACAACACCGACGCCAGTCTTCGGCCATACCAAACAACAGTGCCCAAAAAGGTATTTGGGCCACCTGGAGATTTGGTTGGTTTAACCTCATGGGTGTTCTTGTTGGTTGAGGAAGCAAACCCACGGAAAAGAACTATCTAATGTTTCTGCGCGTGCACCGGTCCGAAAATATGTAGTTTCGGCATTTGAATTTCAGAAACGGAAACGTACCAGCTACCTAGCAGTTGTTGCTGAACCCTAAGTTGGAAGTTCTAGGCAAGCGTTTTTCGTTTCCCCCATTGCTCTGGTTGTCTGCGCACCTGTGAGACTCCAGAACCGGCAGCGCATCCCTCGACTACAAATTGTGTTCATTTTTTGCCTTGGTTTTTGCCAGACTGCTATATTGCTCTGCGAAATGTTGGTCCCAATTATGCTGCCAAATCGTGCGAGTTCCTTTACTTGTCCGGTAATTCGTCAAACTTGAGAGGGGGGGACGAAAGGTAGGCGGGGGGAAATACAGGAGGGACAGGCAAGAGGAGCCGCGACTGTTTGTGACGCAAGCGCGCGGTGGTTGAGCATCGCCCTGTCATGTCCTGAGATGTTAGCTTTGACCGCGGAAAAGAAATCTGCACAAAAATGAAGTTTACCAGCTGGCGTGAGATGGCGCGGATCCGACACTTGGAATTCAACTTTGACATGGTGTCATAGACATGACAGGTAGGAAGCTTTGCTTTTTGGACCTGCAACTGTCCGGGTTTATCGCTACCCATGCCTTCTCATTATTTATCTCGCCTTCGCAATCTCAATTCATTTTACCTCATTATTTCTCATTGTTTCTCGTCGCACCTCCTCTTGTCTCGAAATTTTGCATCATCAAAGATTTCAAAGACTTCAAACCTTTACATGAGAGGTCATATGGTGACCTACTTGAAACGAGAACGGGTTGAAAGGTGTTGTCGGTTTTGCAGCCATTTGGGTTTGTGTAGCAACCCCTGCATTATTTTAATAGTCGTCGGATGTAAATAGTGTAGCTCCCAAATCAGCATCTATCGTGAAGAGCACCCAAAACCAGATCATTAGCCAGGGACCAGATTATGTTCGGCTATTTTGACCCTTAGTTTTGGTCCCCACTCATGGCTTGTCTTAGCTCAATTTATCTCGCGTCCACTGTAACTCATCATATCTCTTCTCCTCTCATCTCATCAATCGCATCCCATCCCGTCGCCTCATATCATCTTATCATCTTTCATCATCTCATACATCATCTGCCATCATTTTCCATATCTTTAGTTATCCCGTTCTTCAGTGACAAACCATTGTCGCATTGCATCGTCTGCATCCCTTTCCCCTGGGCCTCAAATCTTTCAGGACGAGAGATTGGCGATACTCCCTGGTACGACCCAGAGTGTCAAAGCATGCAAAGCATTCATCTCACAAATGTTCGACGCGAGGACAGTTACGACAAATGCTCGCCACCTTCTGTAATTTTCAGGTCAAATCATAAATTAGCATTTTGAAGCATTGCTAGACACACTTGATTTTTAGATACCAAGCGGGTAGGGCACATGAATCGGGGATAGATAAGATGTGGGGTCTGTGTACGGCGTGGAGACAAGGGATGATGCTGCTTTCGATTTTTTCTCACTTTGCATAGTTCGCGTTAGCTTCCTTTGGATACGCGACAGGATGATGCAACGACCAAAACTCTTCGCACCGCCCTTCGTCCAGCAGTAGACATGTACAATGGTTTGGAACCACACCAGCGTGATCACATAGCTGCCCTAATCATGTTCCACTGTGGGCTCTATCGGACCTTTGGCACGAAGGAGTGTATCCGTCAACTGGGCTTCATTCATATGAATGCTTGGGACAAGGCCGCTCAAGAGAAGGTTGTTGCCATTTGTATGAGCTTGTGGCGCCGTGGGATTGCAAACTTCACCCGAGCCTACGGCCCTGCGCGCATTTATCGGTCACGAGAAACACATGCGCGCCGGCATGTCCATGGAGAGAGCTTTGCGCGTGCCCTTTTTCAGGATGCTGAGCAGACAGAAACAAACCATTCGGAGCAAGTGTTGAAGTATGGTGTTTTGTTCCATGATGATCATGATCGTGATAAGGACAATGCCTTACGTATATTTGCATTGCAATGGCCAATTGCTTTACATGGTTGGTGCTGGGTGAAGTCAATTTTGCATCTCCTGACTTGACAATAATTCCGCCATGCTTTGCAGGAAGTATGTCAGACTCAGCTGGCGGGGCTGTGGGCGAGTCGCTTTTCCATCGTCACAGCGGCAGCACGCGGTTCATGGCAGGAACTTGTCCAAGCAATCATGCGGGTCCCGCAGTATGGTGGCACAGGCACCTGGATCTGTTTGTGTCCTGTTCATTTTCATGAAGTTTGGCAAGTTTATGAGGCAGAACATTTCCATGTCATGCTTTCTCACGCTTATTCTCACATGCATGTACCGTGCAGCAGAGGATTCCGCGCAAAGGAGCTTGCGCAAGACTTGCTGTGGACACCCCTCATGTGCTCTTGGAATGTTACGAAATGTTCCTGACCATTTTGAGCACGTGCATTATTCTAACATATGTGGTTGTAATGGTCTTAGCATTGCGTGTGATCCAACGGTTTGCATCGCTACATAGCTTCTTCTGCTATGAGTCAGTATGTGCCTTGTGGGTTTGTGGCGCAAATACTTTGGAACCAACCAAAAAAAGATGTTGCTCTGATAATTCTGAAATAACACCTAGATGCTTGACATGTTGTGTCTGATGCATTTAGCCACAGTGCTGCTGCGCTTGTGCATCATATGTCGGAACTGTCGGAAGAAATGCCCCCACCAGTTTATGGTGGTAGCGTAGCTCCATCGCGCCATCTGCCTTGCAGCTGCCAAGGTGTTTGGGAGACCCGGTGCCATGATGCGAGTTCATGGTGCCCAGTGGGACCAGGTGCCCGCAGAGGATTGAACCGACTGAAGGGCCGACCAATAGCACAGGACTGCTTCAGCAGCCAGGATTTGCCATAGTAAGACTTCTTTTTGCAAAAAATAATGCGGAAGATGTATATTCAGCTGACATGCTCTGTTCAATGCACGTGGTCATTCTTTTATTCTGAACCTCTGCCATTTGCAATGTTTGCTGCTGCGATTATGTTACGTTGAAGATCTTGAAGCCTATGTTTTCCAAACATACCTTGTATATCTGGAGTGTTTGACAATCTCACTTTCCTGGCTGGATAGCGTTCCCTCCCATGCACGTGAGTACACCCTCTTGCCAGCCACGTTCAGGCAGCAGCTCAGCAGTTCAAGCTCGCTTCTTGGCAGAACTGATGGATGTGTACAACCAGGAACCCGAAAGAGCTCATCAACGGCCAGTGGTTGGCTTGCACTAAGAAAACAGTGTATTTGGCACATCTGCACAGCTTACATATTGTTCAGGATAGGTCAGGATTGGCAGGTTGAAGACCAATCAGTATGTTTGTCAGCTACAGTCATCTAAATTTCCACAGTTGCTGGGTCTGACGTATTCAGGTATGAGCTAGAAGCCCTCACACTACATGATGTGCAGTTCCAGCTCTGCGAATTTGACACATGGCAGCGCTGGCTGCGACAGGAAGGCCATGTTCGGCTCTATGTGCGGCTGTAGCCAAGCTGCGCCCCTCTAGTGTCAGACAACATGTCCTAGACCGGACTTTGCGAGGCAGCTTGCGAAATGAAACCCCGGTCGTTTTGGCTGCAAGATTGTGATGATCGAAGGAATCACTATCGAGCTTGTTTCCAGGTCTTTACTTGTGAGACTCGCCCTCATCATGAGCATGGCGTTGCCAGCCTGTTTTTTCCCATCGTGCTCTCATTGAAATCATATCATCAACATTGACATGGCTGCCGGACACCCACATGATTAAGATTCTGAGCCGTACACCCTGTGTTTTGGATTTGTGGGAAAGCATGGGAATTTCTACTGTGGCCCTCCTTAATTGTCTTGCCAGAGTGCGACCAGCATTTGAAGATTTAGAAGCTTGTTCTGCTCACGTAGCACAATGCTGATGTTGATTTGATGGGTCCGAGACTCTAAAACATCGAAGAGCGCCGGGTGCTGTGTGGCCATGGCGGAAAATTCAGAGAGACACGACGTCGGCGAGATGACGGCCGATGTGCACGCTGGCCGAGCCCTTGCCAGTCAGTTTTGCACATGGCTTCGCCCACAGGACTCCGCTTCGAGATCTTCCAGTCGATGTTGGACATGTCTTTACCCATAGCATTCAACCCGTCAACTAAAAAAATAAAAAGACATGGTGATCAAAGTCATCAACACACGGACGAACAATGACGAACATTCGAGAAAGATGATGTAAAGAGGGCCGGCCGGCCGATCAACGCAAAGCCCCAAAAAATCAAACAGCAATAACAAAACCACGTCAGGTAGCCGGTTCCGATGGCGGCCTTTCTTCCTTTTAAACCGGGGAGTGTACAGCCATTCATAGATCCAAGAAACTGTGACAAGACATCCCATCTTTCCAGCGCATCATCCTCTAAAAACAAATGCGTGTAAAGCAGCCGTCCAGGTGTCAAGCGCACATGCAAGTTCAAGTGAACACGCCCCACCCATCTCCATGTAGCATAGACTGCGTGCGCGCGCAAGTTTGCGCGAACTTTGTTGACCCACACCCACCCCACTTCAGCAACAAGCTGAAAGAAGTTCAAACATTCACGCCCATCAGTGCCATGGGCCCATGGGATGACAGCAAATTTTATGCCAAAACAGCGAGATCAGCGCTGTGAGATCAATTTGGAGCAGCATCTTGCGCTGTACCATGTGCAACATGGTCCAAGCTGGGACGAAACCAGCTTTCCACGCAACGGATGGATCAAGGAAACTGATCGACAAATCAACGCATGAACAAATGAATGGGCAAACCAAGTTTGCCGAGAAAACAGACAGCACGTCATAAAGTCATGCTTCTTTCAACGGCTTGTGGTGAACAGGATGTATACATGCTTCGTGGAACTGCCTTTTGATACTCATACAGCTGTCTTGGGCTTGGGCCAAACGGACTGCAAGACCGGGTCTAGTTAAATCTCATGTCACCAACCTGAAAAGTTCGGCCATCTCTTTTGGCTCGTCCCCCAGTTTAACGGGTTTTTGACATACCTGCATTGAGGCCCTCAACTTGGATTCAAGCAAAGAATGATCCATTAATGAAGACTGGATCGTCCCCTTTAAGATCCAAGCCCGAACGGTGCCGGCTCGTGTTCCTCGAGCCTGGGTCCCGCTGGAGTCCTGGGTCCCGCTTACGTGACACAACTAAAACTAACTACGTGCACTACGCGCACGACGTTCCATTTCAGCTGTGGATTTGTGGTACACTGTGTGCGGGTGCATCGATTTGTTTCTTTCTCAGGGCGACGCTCATCCTGCTTGTCTTTGGCCAAGCTGGAGCCAATGTCTGGACAAATGCTCCCTCCCACTTGGCCAAAATGTAGTACACCAACAATACACCCAAATTAGACATTTTGGCTTCAAGAAGCCTCAGATGTGGAAACTTGATGTGGCAAATTCTAAGGTTTGCTGAACGAATTCATTCCGATGGCCAAGCTGTGTCCAGTGAGGGAAGCCGTAGGCCATGGTGGGCCACGCCAAATCAATGAGCGCCACTAGGCGATGCCCATGCCCCTAAGGGGCATAGGATGGCCTCTAAGAATCGGAGACCGATTGAAACCGGTTGAAAGTTGAAACCGCTTGAGCAACAGATCGCACCACGGCCAACATCAAGTGAGCCTGTAATAGCTGTAATAGTCTACATTGTATTTGCTTAATTCAATTTCGGAGAATACCTACATGCAAGGCCGGACACGAGATGCCAAAATAATCATGGTCCTCATCACTTTTTGCAGCCTCTCGTCCCGATGTGGTCACAACTGTTATCTCCTCAAACTGCTGGGTGACAGGACTATGTGGGCCATGATGGGACCAATGGGTCAGCCCAGCAGCTTTGCGCACCGTTCAGTCTTGAAGTTTGCTCCGTTTAAGGACTCAACAGATCTCAATTGATCTCCCGAAGGCCCAACGTGGCAACAATTTGTTTAACCTGTCTTCGTTTGCCGTTCATTTTTTATTCATGTCTCTCATCTGTTCATTTCCCCTGTTTGCCAAATTGCATGTTGTGATGTCAAATGTCACCGGCCTTTGCGGGAGGGCATTGCTTTTCACCAGAAACCATGCCTTAGTTTTTGTAACAAGAAAGACAAGGAAAACAAAGGAAGGCAATTGAAAATGATGTAGAAACTGTCGTGAATGTGGTGCTTGTCACAGCAAGTTTTCTGTTTTCCAAATCTCTGATTCGAATTGAAAACATTTTCGACATGAAAATCTTGAGAAAATCACCAACTTTCGTCCCTTTTCGTCGTCCCTTTTCGTGTCGTTTCGTGTCGTTTCGTCTTGGGCGGACGGACGTGTTTCAGGGCCTCCTCCGCAGAGGGCCGATCGCCGGGCTCGAAGGCCAACATCTTGGCGCAGAGCTCAGCCTGATTTCACACTATATTCCATAATAGTTAGATTATAATAATTCCAATCACATCAATCACTATATTATTATATATATTATCGATTATTATCGTACTAACACTGTAGTTTGGAATAATAATTGGAATAATTGGATTATAGTGATTGATAATAGTATGATTCCAATTGTGATTCCAATTATAGTATGATTATTGGATGATTATTACATACAAATCATATGATAATAGTATGATTATTCCAATTATGATTATTCCAAATCCAATAGAAATTATTTATATTCTTCAATAATGATTATTAGTTTTATACTTCAATAGTTTGAATATTTCCAATAGTTTGGAATTCCTGATTGGATAATATTACTATTGAACTATTCAACTTAATAATTGATTACTAGAGTTTTAGTTCCAATCGTAATCAATTACTATAAACTTAATATTAGCTATAGCAATCAATGATTAAGTTCAATATTAACGATATTGGATATTAACTATTAATAGGTTCATTTCAATTAGAAATGGAATATATGATTCCAATCTTAACATTCCAATTTAATAGATTACAATTACACAAAAGCCAGAGATCGAAGAAGAAAGAGAAATTTCCAACAATATTGAATATTCCAATTTTTGAACATCAGAAATAAAATTACTGACTTGGAATTAGATAAAACATGAGAAATTTAATAAATCATAGATTAAATACAATATTGGTATAACTACATTATAAATTACTGAATTGCTTAAAGATTTTGATAGCAATCTTGTTTAATATTAACACAATTGTGAGTTCATTGGTTATTACAACTCATTCTTGCGAAATTTCATTTAAAGAAATTTTAACATGAAAGAGAAGGTAATACTCGGCAATACATTAAACAACGTTTAAAACATTCAGTAATCCTAATGCGAATGAAACATATTAAGTAATTTTTAAGAACTAGAGTAATTAGAGCTAGCGAAATAAAATGTAAATAATGTGACTCTACATAAAAAGCTCTTCAGGAGAAAGTGGAACATGTAAATTTAGTTGCCGTATGCAATGCGACTTTCAGTGCTGTCAGTTACTTCGTTAGAGACAAAAGGAAAAAACTCCGAAAATCATGTCTTTCCATTTTTTGGCAACGAAAGAAATCAGTTTTGTTCGAAAGAATCCATGTTCGACCGCGATAAAACAGGAAAAACTAACGAAGTCGAAATAAGAAAGACATATCGAAAAATAAATCGAAAATCATACATGATAGAACAAAATATGAAGATTAAAAAATGCTCTAAATTATCGGAATTAATAATGTTCGATTTTTTTCCACTCCGCTGACGGGACTGTTGCCCCGCGCTGTCTTGCAAAAGATGCAAAAGTCTTTCGTGGTGAAAGCGACCCTCAGCCCTGCGGAAAACCCATCCATTCAAATCCATGACTCTGATGATTGTTGGCTTCTGATCCTGCAGTGCACATCAGCTTGATCACATGCCGAGTGCAAGGGTTCTGCTGCATGCTTAGAACGGGTGTCTGTGTGCACAACAGGGATCTCAGGAGAGGGGGCTTCAGGAGGTACAGCCCGATGTAGAGCTTTTAGACGATCAATCAAGGAACAAACAAGCACATCATCTGCAAGCTGCAGGTAGTTGTGATTCACTGCTCAACTTGCAGTCAATGTCCTCCATTCGCTCAAGCACGTCATAGAGTTCGCCCCGGCCCCACAGCGCAAAGGCCTACGTCACATTGCCTGATGATGAGATGGATCATCATCATAATCACCATCACCATCATCATCATCAGGATAGGCATCGACGATCTCACACCATCGTAACTGAAGGTCATGGGCACACAGCTCTGAGTGCACAAGGGGTCATCATGTGCAATAGGTAGGAGCCCATGACCTTCAATGAAGCGTTCCCTTCGCAACTGTGGAGCACCATAACCACGACACTGTAGAATTGCCTCAGCGTGGCTTGCGTCACAATCCAGGCGAAATCCAAAGCTATTGAAGAATGAACTGCATGGCTTGCTGGAGCATCGCACCAAGTCCATGGGCTTCAAGACATGGCAGAGGCAGAGCAATGTCGTCGACGCAGGCGACAATGGGAGCCTGGCAATTCAGGAAGCTGTGGGTCGTGATGCATTTCACCTTGCAACACCTTAAGCGAGACGGCATCAGGATGTTGTGGGCCAGGTCTGCAAGGGGAGCTTGGCCAGACCCTCGTGTTTTGAAAACAAGCCTGTGCCTAGACAGGTGTACCATGTTTCCTGATGAGCATCTCGCACGAGCCTGGCCAAAGCGGGATTGGTCACCTCAAACGCTTGGCCATGTAGAGCAGCATCAGCAAGTAGTTGATCAACGTCAAGCCCTTCAGCTTCAAGAATTCGCCGCAATGGAAGCAGAAAGTCTGCTGTCGTCGCAAAAGCATGCTGTCACAGCTGGCCATGGAAAGCTTCTTCGCTTCAACAAATCTGGAATAGCTACACAAGAGCAGAGAGGCAAAAATGGTCCGCTTCCCTATGAAGCCACCGAACTGCGTGGGAATTCTATTGTTTGCGGCCGAGGGGTGAAGATGTCTCCGAACAAGCGCAGGGTAGAGTTTCCCCAAGGTATCAAGCAACATTATCCCTCGCATCCCTAATGCAGTCACGACTCCATGCTTTTTGGCTACAGTACAGATAAACCCGCCTTTACATTGAATCGGTTCAGCAGAAAGGACCCAGATTTTGAACATCAAAGCATGGAAGACTTCGGAATGATGAACCATGTGCTGTTGTAAATGTTCAGCTTGAAGGCCATCAAGGCCAGGAGCTTTACCACGCTTGGCCAAGTTGCAAAGCTCTGCTTAGACCACCAAGGCTTGTTGGGGACGGGCGCATCTTCAAAGTAAGTCGCAATAATCAACCTCATGTCCAGCCTCCAGGGAACAGTAATGCGTGTTGAGCTCATCAACATTTGGGCCTGCACAACGAATGTTGGAACGTCCTTTTGGCAGTAGGTGCCGAATTTGCTTCCATAGGCCTGTCAACCCTTCATCAGCTGCAACATCGCTTTGGCGATTGGCTAGCTCACGATAGAGCGCTTTGTCATCGTATTTTTACCGCCACAGCAACCTGAAGACAAAGCCGATCATATTGCCACCGCTGAAGAGCTGAAGCTCGATCAGCTAGACAAAGCCAAGGTCGTAATTGCAGTCTCATTGAGAGAGTGACCAAAGTGCCATGCAGCAAAGAGTTCACGAAGGCAGCTTTGTCGAACCATGCGCTTCAAGCTTCGAAGACGATTCCAGCGAAAGCGTTTGCAGCGAATCAGGCGCAAGGTCTCATCTTGCAAGTAGCTCTTTCGCTTGGGAGCTCGGGGCTTGGGAGGCGCTCTCTGCTTCGCCCAAGCCCGGATGTGTGCTGCATGCGTGCGTACATCAACATTCCAAGATATGCGTGGCTCCTCAAGTCCAAGCTGAATATCAATGATGTTGGGGCTAGTGGCATCGGACCTTCGGGCTCCAATTCTGCAACTCTTCGAAAGCACCAGCTTCACACGGCCGTGGTCCTTCTCAACAATTGTGAGATCCATATGTTGCAATCTGAGTCTTGGCCCCTGGGGTACGCAGAGGGTGATCCACGGCGAAGTAATCAAGACGAGCTTCCATGTCACGTCTAACTGTGCGTCCATGTCACGTGGTCACCTATGTGCAGCTTCATCAGTTTGTGGCAAGAATAACGATCGGGCATGCAGCCACGTATGACAACACTCGCCTGCAAGATTTTCCTCTTCTGCTCTATGCGCTCCAACTGACAAAGAAACAATGGATCCAATCCTAGCACTGGCATCAACGAAGGCTATCAATGGCCAAGAACGATTGGCAAACGGAATGTCATTTGACAACTGGGTCCAAAAAGAGGTGGCTGCTGCAAAGGACACGCTGGGGCATGGGCAACGATCAAAAGCAAGCACAGCTCATCACGACAAAGTCGGACTATCATGTGTTGGGGAGACCTCCACGTGGTGCGAATCCAAAATTGTATGCCACCAGCTCCCGGCGCCGAAGCAGCTGCTGACAGAATATGAAATCCTTGGCAGGTCGAATGGCCCCTCATTTCGGATCTTGTTTCCTGTGCCCCAATGATGTGAATATTTTTCTCATCAAATGCACGTAATAAAGATTCTAATCTGGCTGCAACGCCTCCTCCAGTCTCAGCTTTGTTTTGGTAAAGTGTCAAAACATCTGCGGTGGCAGATCGCAACACAAACTCGAAGAAGGTTGCAGCCATTGACTGCTGCTGTGCTTTGCGCATCATAAGATGGGCACAAGCATCTGGTTTTTGACAAAAACGCTGAAACACATTGATCTTCATGTAAACATCACGCACACACGGAATGGCCGGATGACCCATCTGAAACATTTCAAACGTGCCCAACCAAATGAACCCAATGCAGAAGAGGCCTCAAAGCATCTGCTTTCCAAAGGCCCTGCACCGCCATGCCTGCAAACATGCAGTCGAAATGAAAGCAAACCTCCAGCAGAGATTCATACCTTTGATTGCACAGCTGACAAGCCCAAAAAACTGCTGCAAAAAAAATCCTGACAACCCAGCGCGCGGAGCATGCATGGCTGAGGCTAAACCTGCGTCGAAGCATCGAAAGCCGCCAAAAAATCACCATGATGCGCATGGAGAAGAATGACAGCTGCTGAAGAACGGCGAACATCATTGATCACAGCCGACGAAACGTCAGTGCAGAAAGGGACACCAGTTGGAATTTCATTGCTCCAAAATCGGGGTAAAGGCAAAAGCTGCTTGTGTGGCTGGATGCGATTTGACTATACCATCTTCGAAGAGCACTGGTCCGAGATCTGCTTCAAACAACTGGTGCCACAGAGCAATCACTGATCAGAAATCAATTGGCACAATGGTTTGAAGCTCAATGAGCTGCTCCAAATTGATGACTCGAGGACACACCCGTGGCCGGTGATCGTGAGCCACCAATTCGCCTGTTAGGCGCTCCCGGGGTGACTGAACCAAACGGGAGTGCGCTCTGCGATGTGATGCCTGTAGAACAATCCGTCCCATGATGGGCTGGCCTGAGATAATTGGAGCAGTTCCCCACCATGTGTGACATAGGCGGGGGCACCAGGAAGCAAACATAACTCACCATATCCAGCTTGCTGGACAACGTGCTCATGATGGATGTGCTCCACAGTGATGATTGCACTTCACATAAGTGGATCAATACCAGGGTGCCGTTTTTGATCATAGAGAATAGAAGAGAAGTCACATAATGGTCATGCGGGAATTGCATCATAATAACATGCGCTGCGGGGCCATGCTTGAGGTGTGGTGGAGCAGGATCAACCATATGAAAAGTGATCGGCGCACCATTGATGAGTTGATCCCTCCATGCCCTACGAATAGTATCTTCCCATGTAGTCCATCGTCGAACAACGGAATGGTTGTGGAGTGGAAGCACCGTGGAAAAGGTAAATGATGACCGGCAAACCAGGTGGTGATCCGTGCTTCTGACTCCCATGCGACAGCAATGCGACAGCAATGCGATCCCGTGCATCAAACACTATGAGCACCCCTGGTCGCGGCACTTGAAGTTGTGGAACACGCACTTCAAGACTGGTTCCAGGGGCAATAGCCTCACGATCATGAAGTCCAAAAGAATAGGGCCAACATGAACTGAAACAAAAAGGAAGCAAATCAAGCTCATCTTCATGCATTTCGGCGTTGCTCAAAGAAGCATGCCATGAGAGGATGCTTGGCACAGACTTGGCAAATTGTTGAAGAGAGACTTGCTGCCCACGTTGACGAAATACTGACAACACCTCTGCCGCAGAGGTGACCATTGTCTCTTGCTCAAGGACACACTGCATCGAGGTGCAAGGTGGGGCCTGGGCCTCACACGTCTGTGCAGGGTCTAGAAGATCCTGCCAGGCTTCCGCAATTGTAGCCTCCCATGTCTCTGGCTCATTGCTCAAACGAACTGCACGAGGACCAAAACAATTCGGATGACGCTGATGTTTAACAGCCGAATTTTGACATAAGCGATGTTGCTCTCATCAGAGTTCTCCAACAACGCACCGTGCACAAAAAGTCGCTCTAGACTTCGTCGCCATCGAATGTTGTGGAAAAGAGGTCTCCGAGGGTCTGTCTGGCGTATGCCTGCGTCGTGGGGAACTTGCAATAAAAGGTGGGTCGCTACCATCAAATTGACACTTCTGCTGCGCATCAGAAAACTGTTCATCAAAATGAATAAGCCAACGACAGCAATGAATGACAGTCTCCAATAGTCGCATAGGCTGGCTTGAACTTATAGATCCGCGTGCAGCGGACGCACGCTTGTTGTCTGAGGTGCGCCCTGTAGCATCAAGGAATCTCTTTCGCGTGGCCATATCATCTTCAGAGCATAAAGCAAGTCAGCAACTTCAAGCGCAAAGTCAGTGTCAGACGCGGCACCAATCAATGGAAGAAGAATCACTTGAACATAAACACCATGGCGCACTTCACGTTCCTCATTGTCTTCAAGCGTCCAGCACCTGGTTGTTCCAGAGAACCTGACAGGTATTCTGTTGCGTGACACACGAGCCTTGTATCTGAAGTTGATGAAGAAACCGAACTCTGCTAGTTTTAGCTGGCATGCGGCGCACTCGTCTTTCAACTGTCCTTGTAGACAGTTGATACTAAATCTCGGCATCTATCAAGACTAACTTGTCTGTGGTGTCAACATTGAGGTCATCAAAATACTGTAAGATGATGCCTTCTTCCGCATCGTGTTGGTCAACTGTGGGAACTTCCAGGTAGTGGACGCCAAAGACATCTCGAAGAAGAACTCGCAATTGTCGAACAATATTCAGCAAAATGTTGTCCATCTGACAAAGAAGTGCCGTTGAGAACGGTGAAGGCTGTAAACTTGAACCCCTTCCATGACATCATCATCAGTTGCAAAAGCAAAAGGTTCAGAGTCAGCCTGCTCAGGGGAATCATCGTTTGCTGACGGTTCTTCATCAGGCTGCTCAGAAGAGACATTTTGACACCTGGGGCATCTCTCATGGCTGGATCTGGCCACCTGAAGCGGAGCAGAGGTCACTGCACCTTCCACATCTGTACGGTGCCCTGCAAGCATCACAGCGAAAGAATGCCCATCTTGCACATCACGGGTCGGGACTGGAGTCGGAGGAATGCCCTGCCAATCATGATTGATGTGACAACGATGGTCAAGCAAGTATTGATCTGCCCGAGCTCCAGTCAAAATGAGATGACCACTAAGCCGCTGCGGGGGTGACAATGCAACGCGGCAAATATTTCAAACATTGGGAGGATAAACTGTGACAACACCTCCTCGTCCAGCAGCGTGCCCTTGTGTAAAAACCACATCAGCATGGATCTCCTGCCCAACTGGCCGAAGAAGTTCAGGAAGTTCAGGAAAGAACCAAATGAAAGGAGACGTCTTCATTTAATCGGAGTTGATCCGGCCAAGACAATTAAATGTCTTCAATAATGCATGGATGCATCCATTGCAATACTTCATGATGATATAGGTACCATGTGCGTAGCCGGTAGTAGCCACCTGGTGGAACTTGAACATGTGGTTCATCATTGTGCGGGTCAGATCGCTCTCGTCGCGATCTTGCACGAGTTTCATGGTGCAGTCTTATCAATCCGCAATACAACAAAATCTTGACCAATGTCTTGTAGAGGTCCTTGTGAGAAGATGTTTTGAAGATCTTGGTGAATGAAATCCCGTTAAGAGGTCTGCGCATGATCTTGTACAGGTCCTTGTGGGAAGATCTTGTGCAGATCCTGCTGAGGTTCTGCAAAAAGTTTCAAGAAGTCCTTGCAAACTTTTACACAGAGAAGCTTTTACACACAGCAAGCTTTTACACAGAGAAGCTTCTACACACAGAAGTTCTTTCACAGAGACGATTTTTGCACAGAGCAAGCTTTTACACAGAGAAGCTTTTACACACAGCAAGCTTTTACTCAAAGAAGCTTTTACACACAGAAGCTTTTACACAGAGCAAGCTTTGTCACAGAGAAGCTTTTACACACAGCAAGCTTTTACACACAGAAGCTTTTACACAGAGACGCTTTTGCACACAGCAAGCTTTCACACAGAGAAGCTTTTACACACAGAAGCTTTTACACAGAGCAAGCCTTTACACCTAGTACGCGCGACGGCTACACAAATTGCAGCTGCAAGACTTGATCTCGACGCCCAAGCGGAAAAACGACGATTTTGAAACACTTTCTAAAAGGAAATTTGAAAGGAAAATCATCAGCGCCAAAATGCATGAAAATCTGCTGCCAAAGCACCATTCGCAGCCTTCATGCAGCCACTATAATACGATTTCTGACCCTCAGCTGCAAAAGGCAATAGTATTACGCATGCTGAGGAACCTTGACACAGCCATTCCACTGTGATCCGCAGAGACTGAATTTCAAAACACCAAAGCACAGCGTCAACAACAACAGAGAAAAAGTCACCTGAACACCTCAGGTACAGTGCGTGCGCAGTTCGAGACAAATTCGATGGCAAAATCGCCGCAGCCGTCGCGCAAGCGAGCCAACTTTCTCCGCAACGGAAGGTTCTTTTACCCGCAAAAACACAATGCTTCGTGCAAATCCTAACGTTCAAATCGCATCCATGATGTAGCAGTTCCAATGCGATCTGCCAAGGATGACTTAAACACAATCAGATTCGCAAGACAAGTACCCTTCGAGAAGCCTTGCCGCAACCAGCACACCGCGATCTGCACAGACCGAATTGCAAAACACAATCGCACAGCATCAACAAATAAGAGAAAAAGTCACCTGGAACTCTCAGTCACACTGCACGCGCAATCGAGCCGGATTCGACGGCAAAGCGACGACGCCTAAGACCGTCGCGCACGCGAGCCAACTTTCTCTTCTCTACTCTACTCTTCTCTCGTCTTCTCTACTCTACGCAGCTTTACTCTGCTCTACTTCTACTGCTGCTCTACTTTGCTCTACTCTACTCTACTCATCTCTCCTCTTCCCTACGCTACTCTGCTATACTCTACTCTTCTCTACTCTACTCTTCTCCACTTCTACTTCTGCCTCTACTCTACCTCTACTCTACTCTTAGGGCACACGCCAACTGGACACAATGATCTTTGGACTAGTGAGAATGTGACTTCATGATCTCTTAAGGCACATGCCAACTGGACACAATGATCTTTGGGCTAGTGAGAATGTGAGTTAACTACAGCTACAGCTACACTAGGCTACACTAATTACACTACAACTACGCTACACTACACCACACTACACTACTTACACAAGCTACACTACAACCACAACCGCAACTGCAACTACAACTGCAGCTCAACTACACTATCCTAATTACGTTACACTACAACTACAACTCCACTACACTCTAGGCTACAATTACAACTACAGCTGCGCTACACCACACTACATCCAGCAGTTGAGGTTGAGGTGACCACCGCAACCACTCCAAAACCACCTTTCGGTCCATCAGTGGATTCGCTCTGCCATCCATGTCAAATTATTCTGACATAGTTTCTGACATGCACTCTGACATTCTATTTGGCATCTATTCGGGCATTCATTCTAGCATGTTTTCAGATCCGTGTGCGGGTGCTATGAGATCCGGGCCCGTTGGTGCCCACAGTGACAGTGACGACGAGCTGGCGGAAGAAGGAAGAAGGAGAAGCAAGAAGGAAGAAAAAGGAAGAAGGAGGAGTCACACCTTTCATTAAAATTTCATTTTAAAAAAAATAAAGGCCCTCACCTGGCAGGTGTGGATAAGGATGCTAAAGCTGGCGGACTACTGCTGTGCTTTTTTTTGCTACCCCCTCCACCGCCATATGCTATTTCTTCTACTGTGCTATGCTATTTTTTGGCTGGAATTTGCTACCATGCAATATAGCATAGCACGAAATTGGCACAAATAGATACGAATAGCACATTTGGTCCGCGCTCGAGTCTAGAAGAGCGTCGGATGGCACTAAAGTTCCACTTTTCAACTAGTTTTCAACGCGCGTCAACCTAATTTTTGATGTTGCATCCAATCTCTTTGCATCTCTTTTTGCACTCTACCCTACCCTAAATAATGCTAAGACATGCCAAGACGCTGCTTCTGGACATCTGTCCAAGGGCGGCCTTGTGAAGTTAATCCTTAGTGAGCTGAATCCCTTGTCAAAGGCACTGAGGAAAAAGGACTCTCGATTTCTACGTTGCCAAATGAAGGACACGGGTCTTGTCCTACCTTCTCATGATTTCAGCTGCCTGGGGAGATAAATCCATATTGACCGACAGGGAGGCTGCGATTTTGGATAGTTGGACAATACTTTAGGTGAATACTCGCCTGCAGACCCTTGGGCCAAGCAGAACCTACAAAGAGGTGTGATCCATCCTATTGGTACTTTGGGCTGAGATTCTTTTCTGTCTTGAGGCGCTCATGGATCCTCAGGGAGCAATGCGAAGAGAAAGCGCAATGAAGCAGCAAGACAATGTCAAGTGAGAGACACGACCACATGCTCACTATATGCCTCTCCTCTTCATTGCTGGACTGCCAACCCAGTTCTCACCAGGCTTGTCGTCAAAGATATCTTCCTGCATGTTCCCCAAGTAAGAAAAATGACCAAGAAAAAAAAGAAAACCTGCCGAGGCCACCCGACTGGGAAATCTACCAGTCAGCAGCTTGTACATGACCTGAGCATGTCTTAGATGTGCACGCAGCACCTTTTGCAACACATTGCAAGATTATAAAAATGATCAAAATGCGTGTTTCTGACAGGTTCATCACGTCTCGCTTCCAATCCCGTGCAAAACTGTGTAGTCCCGGGCTACTCCAATGGAATAAATATCGGAGGCCGGGGAATAGTCTCCTGGCGATCTGCACGCCTGTGCGTTTTTGAAAATGTTTGAAAAGCATGCGCTGTTTCATGCTTCAAGCTGTTCTGGGCGCACCCAAATAAGCTTCCGGAGCAATGTAGCCATCGGTTCCAAGAACATCTTTGGCTTTTGGACTTGTTGGTTCCCAGTCCTCAACCTCAGCTCTCTGCAGCTCTCAGCACAGCAACATCAGCCACATCAGCCACATTAGCCACATTAGCACAAACATATCAACATGTTCATGAAAAGAAGCAGGGGACCAAGGGTATGTACAGTAGCAGTTGCGGTAAGTCCGCTAGTGCACGTTGTTTTTGTTCGTTATCGATCCTTATTGCAGTTTTCCCGAATGCGGAGGGAAGGGTTCTTGTTTTCTTGTTGGGGGGTCTGGGGGTGGAGCTTTGCCTGTGGCTCGTTGCGGTGCTGTTGTGCTCTAATTGCGTCTCGCTTTGCCTACAGGGATTGCCACAAAACGTGATGTTTTGAAGGCGTGAAATGTCATTTAATCATTTCGCGTGGCAGGCGTGGGACTTCGTGGCGCTCAGGCATGAAGTGTTGCGCGGCGGTCTAAATCGCTTCGCCGCTGCCACTGAGAAGTGCTGCAAAACATGTCGTCTTGAAGATGTCAAAAGTCATTTCGAGTGTGGAGTGTGGAGTGGAGTGTGTGGAGTGCAGAGTGTGAAGTGTGATGTGCAAAGGGTAATTTGTGAAGTGTAGAGGTGTAAAGTGTGGAATGTGGAATGTGGAGTGGGAAGTGTGGAGTGGAGAGTGTGGAGAGTGTGGAGAGTGTGGAGAGTGTGGAGAGTGTGGAGAGTGTGGAGAGTGTGGAGAGTGTGGAGAGTGTGGAGAGTGTGGAGAGTGTGGAGGGTGTGGAGGGTGCGGAGTGTGCGGAGTGTGGGGAGTGCGTGGAGTGTGAAGTGGAATGTGGAGTGGAACCTGGAGTGGGGAGTGGGAAGTGGGAAGTGGGGAGTGAAAAGCGTGGGGTGGAAAGTGTGGAATGGCAAGTGTGGACTGGAAAATGTGGACTGTGGACAGCGTGGACTGTAGAAAGTGTGGACTGTTGAAAGTGTGGAAAATGTGGACTGTGGGAAGAGTGGGCTGTGGACTGTGGGCTGCGGACTGTGAAGTGGAGAGTGTAGAGTGGAGAGTGGAGGGTGTAAAGCGTGGAGTGTGGAGTGGAAAGCGTGGAGGGTGTGGAGGGTGTGGAGGGTGTGGAGGGTGTGGAGGGTGTGGAGGGTGTGGAGGGTGTGGAGGGTGTCGAGGGTGTGGAGGGTGTGGAGGGTGTGGAGGGTGTGGAGGGTGTGGAGGCTGGAGAGTGAAGAGTGAAGAGTGTGAAGATGAGTGTGAAGATGAGTGTGAAGATGAGTGTGAAGATGAGTGTGAAGATGAGTGTGAAGATGAGTGTGAAGATGAGTGTGAAGATGAGTGTGAAGTGTGGGGTGTGGAGAGTGTAGAGCGGAGAGTGTAAAGTGTGGAGTGTGGTGTGGTGCGTGGTGGTTGGTGGGTGGTGCATGGTGTGAAACTGAAGAGGGTGGAGTGGAGAGTGTGGAGTGTGAGGAGAGAGCGAGAGCGTGAGGGTGTGAGAGTCTGAGAGTGGAGGGTGGAAAGCGGAGAGGGGCGGAGAGGAATGGAATGGAATGGAATGGAATGGAATGGAATAGATTCGAGTGGATTGGAGTGGATTGGAGTGGATTGGAGTGTGGAGATTCGCTTTGTAATGCTTAATAATGCTGGGAAGTGCCTTGTGCAAGTCTTGTACTACAAGTCGTATTGGGAAGGATATTGCTCAAACTGTGGAATACAAAGCAGTACTGGGATGTACTTTGAACAAGTTTTGCACTAAAAAGTAACCTGAGAGGAGGGGAACCTTAGAAAGGTGGTTAGTAGGGAGGTCAGTGGTCTTTTTCCAGCGCAAGGCGGGGAATCACGGTTGCAGTGGTGATTCACGTCATTTTCCCGCAGTCCCACCTATCTTTTCGGAGGGGCGAATCTTCCAGAATGAGTGCTTCTCAAAATCCAAGGGCCCCAACTCGTCCCCTATTTTGCCTGGTACATGGTGCTTTTTCGTAGTGGAGGGCATCATTTTCTGCTGAGAACTACCCCTTGTCAGCTCTGGAGGCTTTACATCTGCATGAGGCGCGCAACCAAATGTGTGGGATGAAGTGTGGACTCAAGGCTTGAAAGGGTAGATGCCTCAGGACCGGGTGGAATGTCAGGAGCAAAGCGCCGGTTCCTGAACTGAATGTGCTAGTCATGCTAAAGGAATTATACACATCATATGCACACCAAAAATGGACGATTCAAAGTGCTTATTCGAAGTAGATGACTCCCTGTTAGGCCCATGTCGGGTCTAGGCTGATTGCGGACCATGCGGGCGCCTTTGCTGGGCGAATGCTGGGCAATCTGGGCAATGTTGGGTCTTCTTGGTTTCAAGAGGTCACTGGAGCCTATCTGAAGTTTTTTTTAACTGCTGCGGAGTTGTCACAAGCCCCATGTGCATTTTGATGACGATTTGAGGGCTGAAATGCACACGGAACTTGGGGTGAACATGGGGTAAGTTTATGGCATACTATGGCGAACTTGGGATAATTTGGGTCCATCTTGGGCGCATGTTGGTCTGCGTTGGAGCTTTGCAGTCTGTTAGTGAAGCATGTGGATCTGGAATGACAATGCATGCATGGCACCGAAACATGATTGCTGGGTTGCTTGGGAAAGGGTCTCCTCAGTATAGTGCCCGTTTGAAGTTGATCAAACGAAGTTTTGAAGTCTAAACTCCCTGATGCGGAAAACTTGAGGCCAAAGGAGAGAGGTGTATTGAGAGAATATGTGGCGCGACCTTTTGAATGTCATTTTGTGACTTGAAACAAGCTACCATTCGATTCGATGTCGCTGACATGCTAGCAGCAGGGTATCATGATATTCTAGCTCGCATGCACCATAATCATTCCACAACCTTTCCCCTGACATCCTTGCAAACCAGCGTCAACATTACGCTCCTAGCACTCTACTTGCCAAATAGAAAGTGCCCCAACCGAACGCGCTTCGGTTGAGCCACTTTGCACTCATCTGATTGAACCTCTTTCCCTCGGCCTTTCCTTCCTTGTTCCTGTCCGTGACATAATATATATAAATATTATATATATATGACTGCTCACGATTTGAAAAACGAAGCAAAATTGATACGTCCCCAAAGCATTCTCTTCGAGATGTATCAGCGCATTTCTTTTCATTCACCGCTGGCATGTAAATTCACGGGGCTTACCCGTTTGAAACAAGTTGATATGTCTCGAAAGGAATAAAACGTGATATATCTCCAAAGTTTTCTTTTTGGAACGTAGATTTTAACAAAAGCAAGCTTGATGGTGTGTTGGAGTGATGACAATGGGGGATCGAAAAATCACTGAAGCCTATGTATGGAACAAAACCCACTACAACCCCACATGTTTGTTTTTAAACCTTCAATAAATCACGATCAATGACGCGATCAATGAGCGAAGCAAAATTGATACGTCCCCAAACCGTTTGTTCATTTGGGGACGTATCAGAGCAAGTTTTTTCTATAGATATTTCATCTCCATATCACCATCAGAGGATGTCTCATACATCCATCGAGCAAGAAATGCTCGGGAATTTTAAGATGCGAATCATCCGTTCCTCGCCAAGACAGGGTTATATTTTCACGCAGACATCTTGGCGAAAATGGAATGCAAGAAGACATCTTGGAGAAATGGAATGCAAGACTCCAAGTGGTCCTTCTCCCATTACATCTCATTACATTTTGTTGCGTTACATTACATTACCTTCCACTACGTTACATTACGTTACATCAGAGTAGATTACAATACATTAGGTTATGTTACATTAGATTAGGTTACATCACAATGCATTAGTTTAGATTCTGTTACGCTAGATTACATATACTACATTATCATTACATTAAATGGTATTGAGTTACATTGTGTTGCATGCAAAACACCTGCGGTGAATATCATCTTGTATGTTATATATGTGTGCGTGGGGCGTGATCACACATGAAACCCAGCGAATCCCAGCGATATGGACGCAGTGGAGTTTGAGCCCAAGGAGGGGAAGGGGTCATAGTTCGACATGATTTATCATGCCGAACAGGGGAGGGCCAAAACAAAGTTCGACGTGAAAAATCACGGCAGCTGCGTCCAGTCTGCCCCCCGTTCATTGCTAAAGCAAATCCAACTCCAGCTAGCAAGCTAGCTTTCATGGTATGGCAGAGAAGAAAATCAATCACCACCACCACTATACACCACCACACCACCACATCACCACATCACCACACCACGACATCACCACATCACCGAAGTAGGGAAGTGAAGAGAGTAGGGACATGAAACGAGGAAGGAAATGAAGTGAGTAGGGAAGTAAATGAGCTGATGGACTGCGCTGTGCGAATGCGTTTGGTGATCTAGGAATCTAGGGTTGCAGCTTGCATTGGCAATTGTCTTGGCTGACGTGGTTCTATTGGCTGACGTAGTTCTATTGGGATTTGCGAGGCTGTGAGCGGAGATCGGAGTCCGATTGCTTCGTCACGGTGATTCTTGAAGCTTAGGAATCGGACGAAACCCCATGCTTTTTTGCATAAAATGCTTTCCGGCTCCGATATGAAGAAAACCGTGTTTGCGCGACGGGTGCAGCTGCGATTGCGTGTGCCCGGACGCGTCCTCCATGCTAAAGTTGTCCTTGAAGAAGATCAAAGTGCTGATGGACTGCGCTGTGCCATTGCAACATGTGATCAAGGGTTGCACTTCGCATTGCTACTGCTGCGGTTTCGTGCATCGTTTTATGGTCTTTAGGTTTTGATGGTGATTGTTCAGTAGATGTTTCTCGCCACTGATTCTTGCTCTGAAACTCCTTTTAGGAAGGGCGCCGAGATCCGGTTTTGGCACCGCAATTTTTGTTGCCACTGCGCGAAGTTCTATGGTGTTTTGCAACTCAGTCTCAGCAGGTCGCAGCGGAGTGGCTGCGACAAGGTTCCTCGCTGCTGCGGCTGGCTGCGTAACACTATCTTTTGCAGCTGAGAATCGTTAATCATTATTGGAGTGGCTACATCAAGGTTGCAATGGTGATTTGTCAACAATTTGTTGGCATTTTGGCGCTGATGATTTTCCATTCAAAATTTGCTAAAAG